ACTCATGAGACCTTTGTCAGTATCAGGGTAGTTGGAGGAAAAAAATTATATGTATGTATATGTAGATAGATAGATAGAGGGCACAGGGTGAGCTTAAGATGAAGGGGTCATATCTGGAGAATAAAATTAAGGGATGAGAGAGGATTATACTCAGAGAAGAAGAAAGGGAGAGGTAGAATGGGGTAAATTATCTCACAAAAAAAAACAGAAAAGTCTCTTACAGTGGAAGGGGAAACAGGGGAAGGTGAGAGGGAATGAGTGAATCTTATTCTCATAGGATTTGGCTTAAGGAGGGAATAACATACACATTCAATTGGGTATGGAAATCTGTCTTACCCTACAGGAAAATAGGGGGAAAGGGGACAAGAGAGCAGGGGGATGATAGAGAGGAGGGCAGATTGGGAAAGGGGTTAATCAGAAGTAAATACTTCTGAGGAGAGACAGGGTCAAAAGAAAGAATAGAATAAATGGGAGGGCAGGATAGGATTAAGGGAAATAGAGTTAGTTTTTCACAACATGTCTACTATGGACATGTTTTGCATAACTGCACATGTACAACTTATATTGAGTTGCTTGCCTTTTCAATGAGGGTGGGTGGGGAGGGGAGGAAGAGAGAAAATTTGAAACCTAAAGTTTTAAAAACATATGTTTAAAAAAATGTTTTCACATGCTACTGGGAAATAAATATAGGAAATGGGGTACAGAAGTCTATCCTGCCCTACAGGAAAATAGAAGGGGAAGGGGATAAGAGAAGGGGAGAGAGATAGAAGAGAGGACAGAGTAGGGGAAAGGATATTCAGAATGCATGAAATCTTGGGGTGGGGGGAGGGGGGAGATTGGGTGAAAATTTGGAACTCAAAAACTTGTGGAAGGGAATGTTGAAAACTAAAAATAAATAAATTTATATTTAATAAAATGATGTAAATTCACTTATGTATGGATTCCTGTAAGGAAGGCCCGATAGCAGAAGCATGGACAGATACAAATGAAAGTGAGAAGTCCTGAGAAGTTGCTCTCCACATTGATCTTGGTTTTCTGTGATAGTACAAAAGTACCTAGCGATAGCTTGACTTGGAAACTAGTTTTTTCAGTCTTTTGACTTTGTTTTATTGTTTCTTGATGTCTCATTGAGTCATTAGCTTCCACTTGACCAATTCTAATTTTTAAGGAGTTATTTTCTTCAATATTTTTTGTGCCTCTTTTACCAAGGTCTTAATTCTCTTTTCATAAGTTCTTGTGTAGCTCTCATTTCTTTTTGCAACTTTTCTTCTACCACTCTTATTGATTTTTACTTTTTTTTTAATCTTTCTTTAGCTCTATAGGAATTTTTGTTGGTTTTATGTCCAATCTGCATTTTTTCTTTTGAGGCTTTGTTGTAGATATTTTCAAGTCATTGTCTTTTTCTGAGTTTTTATCTTGACCTCTTCTGTTACCGTAATAGCTTTTCATGCCCAGGTTTTTTATTTTAAACGTATTTTCCCAGCCTTTTTCTTGACTTCAGACTTCATGTTAGAGCTGTGTTCTCCCCACTTCTGAGGGGATGGCCATCCTGAGCTTGTAGTTTGATATGAGGGTCTGTAGATTTTCAGTGTTTTCAGGGTGGCATGATCTAGAGAGAGGTCTCTCATGATCTGTGCTCTAGTCTTTACCCAGACAAAGTCCCTACACCTTCACCACTGGAACTACTCTTCTCTGCAGTGGAACCACAACTTGGAACTAAGTAGTAGGCTATAGTGCTACCAAACAACATGGATTCTGTACCCAGCGCTATTACAAGGGGTCCCCTGGAAATCTCTTTATGACCAGGTGTTCAATCTCCTCACCATTCCTATGTGTTGGCTGCTTCTGGTGCTCTCTCTGCTGCTGTAGCTGCCACTCTGCTGGCCAGCTTTTACGCCAGTGTCCACAGGCTTCTCTTTCTATCTTCCTAAGCTGCCCTGGGCTGGAAAAATGACTCACTGTGACTTTTTGTTGGCTTTTTCACTTAGAATTTGATTTGGAATTTTCTGTGGTTGTTTTAAAGGAGAAATTTGGGGGAGGTTTGCTACCATCTTGACTTCACCCCCTTGAAGTTCCACTTCTGACTATCTATCTATATCTATATCTATCTATATCTATATCTATATCTATATCTATATCTATATCTATATCTATATCTATATATCTCTCTTTTTTCTATCTCCCTGGGCAAGGATCACTTAACTTCTCAATGATCTAGATTAATAAGCTCTCTAAGATATTAAACTGCAGAGAAGGTGCCAAACTGTATTGGTAGGGAGAATTTCCTTTCCTGGGTATTCTCTAAATTGTTGAAGTCACAGACCCAATAAAATAAAATAATGAGGGTTCATGTTTATATAGCACTCTAAGATTTAGGAAGCATTTTCCAATCAACAGCCCAATGAAATAGGCAGGGGCAGTATTTCTATTCCTGTATAGGTGAAAAAACTGAGACAGAGAGGTTTAAGTGAATTGTCTAGCATCATGTAGCGAGTGTCATAACCTGTCTGAACCTGTCTCAAAGGATAATTACAAAGAAAGCACTTTATATACCTTAAAATATTATACAAACCTAATCTATATATACTGGACTCAAGCCCTGGGCTTCTAATGTTAAGGTTTGAAAGCAGGATGTTGAAGGATTCTTCTGCAAAGCAAACTACCAATATCAAAGTTCATCTAGGAGAAACAAAGTCGAGAACCTCAAAGGAAATATGAGAAAAAAAGGACTGAAGGAGGACTAGCATAACCAATTCTCAAACTCCTTTATAAAACAGCAATCAAAAATGTGTACTATTGGTTGCAAATATAGAAGTTGATCAATGGAACAGATTAGATAAACAAGATCCAGAAATAAGTGAACAAAGTAGCTTAAATGTTTGATAAATCGAAAGATACTAATTATTAGAATAAGGATCCCCATTTGACAAAAAAAAATCCTACAGAAACTGGAAAGCAGGTTAACAGAAATTAGGTTTAGACCAACTTTTTGTACCTTATACCATAATTAGTTCCAAATATATGTCTTAAAAAGGAAAGATCACATTATACAGAGGGAGAAGAAGAGAGGAAGAGAGAGGGAGAGGGAAAGGAAGAGGGAAAGAGGGAAAGAGGGAGAGAGGGAGAGGAAGAGAGAGAAAGAGAGAGAGAGGGAGAGAAAGAGAGAGAGAGGGAGAGGGAGAGAGAGAGAGAGAGAGAGAGAGAGAGAGAGAGAGAGAGAGAGAGAGAGAGAGAGAGAGAGAATGGAAGAAGATATTTTGGATGACTATGCTTAGGGGGAGAAGTCTTAACAGAACAGAGGTGACCATAGAAGTTAAAATGTATAACTTCAGTGTAAAATGGAATAAGTTTTACGTGAACAAAATCAATGAAGCTAGAATTGGAAGAAGTTAATTCGGAAAAATCACTGCAGCAAATATGTCTGATTAAGCTCTGACGTGAAAAATATATAGGAAATTAAAACAGATATATAAGAACAAGAGCCAATCCCTAAAAAATAAGTTGTCGAAGGACATAAAAACGCAATTTTCAAAAGGAATGAAAGTGATAAAGCACTATAAAAATGTGCTCCAGATCATGAACAATAAGAGGAATGCAAATAAAAACAACTTTGAGGTTTCACCTCATATCCATCGGATTGCCAAATATGACAAAAGACAAAAAGAGTACATCGCAGAGGAGCTGTGGGAAGACAGACATGCTAATGTAGTATATTCATTTGGTATATTTTCTTAAAGCGCATGGTGGGTTTTCTTTTAACAATCTGTACTGAAGAGGGACAGGGCATGTTGAGGAACATGTGCTTGGTCTACATTTATTAACATTTCCCTTCTTTTCTGTCTGGCAGTGGGGATAGAGACCCGGATTTGAATCCTGCCACTAATACTCTGGGTTTTAGGACCTCTGGCAAGACACTACTTAATTTATTGGAGGCTGTTTCCTTATGTAAAGTAGAGATCCTATTACAGTACTTACTTCACAGGGTTGTTGCAAATATCAAATGAGCTTTATTATGTGTGAAGTGTGTGGTAAAATCTTAAAGGGTTATATCAATACTAGCTATTATTATTCTCAACTCTTTGATTTCTTCTTTCATCAACTGCTTCTAGACCACTTTTTTTCCCCCTTAGAACCGCAGAGGAAATGTCACCTTAGGGGTAGGTGCTCTTATTTTGTAGTCTATGAGCATAAAAACATTTGTATTTTAATATAATTGCTTTCCTTTGTAATCCCATGTATTTTATCTTATGCATTTAAAAACATTATTCTGAGGAGTCCATGGGTATCACTAGACTACCACAAAGGTCAATGATACAATAATACAAAAAAAAATCCCTGGTTTAGGGGAAACCACTTATGCACATAATTTGAAAGTGAATTGAATAACTTTGTGCAAATTTCATAGACACTATAGGTTCCCACATGTTAGCAAGCACATGCAGGCACATGGACTGACAAGAATATAATAACTCATATTTATTTAACCAAGTACTTTCCTCAAAGCAACGTATGAGGTATGTAGTATGAATATTACCACCTCCGTTTTAGGAACCCAAGTATAACCATTAAGTGTCCAAACTCAAGTCTCCTGACCGTAGGCCAAAGATTCTTTTCACTGTATTTCAAAACCTCTTTAGTGGAGAAAAGTTGAGAAAAGTCTATTGGGGGGCAAGGAGGTGCCAGAGAGAAGGGATAAAGAACTCAAGTAGAATGTCCTCTCACTTAGGTGACCACTAGATTTTACAAAAGAATACTCATGCTAAATTTCACAGATGGAATATCTTAGGAAACATTAACTTCTTCTTTTATGGAATAAGATCAGCCAATCCTTCTCTCTTTAGCCTCTATTCTAGAAATTTAACTCTCCTTTCTACTCCTCTTTTCTTCAACCATCAGGTGGTTTCTATTGAGTCCTCTCATTTTATTCAGAAACCCAATGCAATGGCAGACCAGTCAGAAAGAAACAAAAGATGTGTGTGTGTGTGGGGGGGGATACTCACCCTACTACCACAATTATAAAATCTAGTAAATTCCAACCGTTGCGGAGGTAAGCATTGGGGTGAAAGAGAAGTCCATATGCTATTACTTTTAAAAATGCTTCCACTGTAAAAATGATGAGAAAGAGATATTCCACTCGTTCCTGGAGAAAAGGAAACAAAAAGGAGAAAGAGAAACACAATAGTTAATTTGGGGTCCTGTAAAATGCTAAACCAGCCATGGCCATGTATGTAATATGTAACTGCTTATATGTGTATGTATGTGTGTGTTTATACATATGTATTACTTTACATTTTATAAAGCACTTTTCACACATGTATCACTCCTATTTTGCAGATGATAAAATTGAAACTCAGAGAGGTTCCAAGTAACTTGCCCACTGTCACACAACTAAGAAGGATATGATTCAGGATTTGAACACAGGTCCCTTGTCTTTGATTCCAGTGTTCTTTCCCAGACAGCACAGCTGCCTCAGCTGAGGTTTCTCTCAGATCCTAGGAGAGGCATGTTTGGTGTTAGGACCTGTTCCACCCACCACCCACTAGATGTTAATGACTCGAGAGGCCTCTGGGCACAAACCCTTCAACAAAACATCACCCCTACCATAGGATTATGGATTTAGAGCTGGAAAGAAACTTGGAAGTCCTCTTGTTCCAAATACTCATTTTTCAGATGAAGGAAACTGAAGCCTAGAGAGATTAAATGACTTGCCTAGTGTCATACAGCTAGTTAGCAGCAAAGTTGGGTCTTGGATCCAGATTTCCCTCACTCTAGCGCTCTTACCTACTCTGCCTCTCTGTGGTCTATTGAGCTGTCTTCCAACTTTTTTTTCAGTTCTTGGAGACTTTCCTGTTCTCAACACTCCCCAGGTAAAATGCAAGTGTCAAGTTAAGGCAATTAGATCACGCCTTTGGGACTCTAATGCCTGAATTAGTTATCAGTGAACATCTTATGGAGGATTTATTGACACTCAATTGAAAATAAGATCTTAAAGGAAGGGAATACAGGATAGGGTTAAGGCTCTAAGGAGTCCTTCACCTTTTATGGTGTCATGGCCCCTTTGGCCACCTGGATATGCCCACAGATCTCTTCTCAGAATGTTTTTTTTTAAGGCAATTGGGATTAAGTGACTTGCCCAGAGCCACACAGTTAGTAAGTGTCAAGTGTTTGATCTGAGGCCGAATTTGAACTCAGATCCTCCTGACTCCAGGGCTGGTGTTCTATCTGCTGCGCCACCTAGCTATCTCATCAGAATATTTTTAAATGCACAAAATAAAACACACAGGATTACCAAGAAAACCAAAAGTTAATGAAAATAAAGATGTACTTTTTGCTTTCCTCTCCAAGTTCAGAATTCTCTCCACATGTTTAAAACCCCCTGGTCTGAGAGGAGAGCAGTAGAAGTGATGTGCCAGAAGGGAAGAAAGAGGGCAATGAGGAGGAGATGGAAGACTCCAAAAACTTTCCTTATTTCAGCTCTACTAAGGTCTTGGTGGGGGGGGAGTATTCACATATTTTACCCAAATGATAGCTCTAAAAGACATGTAGAGATAATTTGAGAAATACAACATCACAATCTCATGGCAGTGATGGGAACACACAACCTACTTTGCTAAATAAGTTGGCCTAGAAATTTAAAATTTCAACATTAAAAGAGTCAAAGACTTTTGGTTAGGGTTTATTATATAATCAGTACTTCCTGGGTAGACAGGAATCTAGGGTAAGCTGAAGTATTGGACAAGTCCAGACTTCCATGAGTGGGGTCTAAATACACATGCCTTTTTTCTCTTTGCCACTATCTGAGAAAGGCCTTCATTTAAAAAAAAATGCAGCTTCTGTCACTGGAAGCCCATACTTAAAAAGGACAAAGTCTTTGGCTCAATTAGAGTAAAAAGTCTGCTGGCTGATTCACTCATTTCCCTCACAGCTCTTAATTGCTTTTCCCCAATCTCTCTCCCTTAATGCAGAGGCTTAATGGCCCCCACTCCTTGTTTGCTACCATGAGATCTTCACGCATCACTGCCTCCTGAATGAGGAGCCTCATCCTGTCTCTCTGCTAAAGCCACAAAATGTCAGCCTGTCCTGAATTCTTTATGTTGCTCACTTCAGCATTACCCTGCCATGTGCCCACAGGGACTGAATCATGATGCCCACAGGGATAGCCACACAGAGATGGAACCCAAAAGCTGCATCCACCCACCACAGCTCAGTCAGGGAGAAGTCAGGGATGTCCACCTCATTGTAACAACACTCCTCGAAGACACCTCCCTAATTGCTTCATTTTTACCACTCTTTCTTTCCCTGGACATAATACCAGGATTCAATGCAATAGAGAGCCAAGAGAGTCAGAAATGTATGGAGTCTGAGGGTGGTTATGGTTAGCATCATACCCACCCATTATGTTTCTCCTTTAAAAAGTTAATTTTTTTCAATGAATGAAAATCTCTTTTTCTCTCCTCTATTTCCCTCTCCCATATGGGAGGGAAAAAAAACAACCAAAAATAAAACCCCTGTAATAAATATTCATAGTCTAGCAAAAGAAATTCCTGCATTGACCAGTTAGTCAGTAAATATTTATTAAGGCCCTGCCAAGTGCTGGGGATACAAAGAAAGGTAAAAGACAGCCCTTGTTCTCAAGGAGCTCACAACTTAATGGGGGAGACAACATACAAATAGCTATGTATAAACAAGCTACATACAGGATAAGTTATGTTCTTTGTACATGATCCCATCTTGACATTTAATGGTGGGGTGATAGAACTATTCTTTGATGGGCACGTCCTAAGGACAAATATCCCCTTTGTGGAATGCCCTGTGAAACCTGGTTAAAATGAATTTCAAAGGCCATTTGAAAGGAAGGAAATGTCACAGAGGAAACATATAGCCAAATGCAGGTATGCAAACACGGAGGGTATGCAGTTGTCTGGCCTCCAAACCCCACACTGCTGTCAATACGTTCAGGTAAACAGAGCTATGTGGATGCTGGGGTAGCTGGAGATCCTACAGTAGCTTGGGACTTGCCAATTTAAGTAGTGAATGTATACAAATAGGGCAACATGGCCAGTAGTATGAGGTCACCTACATTCCATTATCGCCTTGGGAAAGTGACAAGAATCTACATATAATAGACTGTCTCAGAGTTTCACTGATGTTGGTAGAAACGTATATTTCTATGTATATGGGGTATATGGGGAAGAGGGAAAAACTTCAATTGATAGTCCAGATATTGTTAAATTCCCCAGATTCATTCCAATTCAATTTAAGTCTCAACTGTGTGGAGACGACAGTTAGGCTTTAGGGAAGTGACAAAGTGACAGTAACACACAGACCTCGCTTTTCAAAAGTTAACATTATTGTAGGGGGATGGGATATGAATACAAATGGCTGTGACATACACCCCAAGACTTCAGCCCAATCACAGCTCAACAGCTTATATAATGAGGCTCTTACATAATGGCATCCATAATATTTGCTTCTCAGCCTTATCTTTTTCCTGGACATCAAGAGCTCCTAACCTTTGAAAGAGATGGCATACAGGCTTTAAGGGGATGACATGAGAATAGGATTGAGTCAATGCCTGAAGAAGAACGTGGTCCATCCAGGAAATTTAGGTCAACCTAGCTGTTGATCGTCCTCTTTTTGGCTGAACTCACGATTATCTAGGAACACCTTTAAACCTCATGAATATCTCACACAGAAAAGATTTAACTGTTATCATGGGAATTTGCCTTCTGGTTAGAAATTATGGCACTCTGTTTGGAATCATATGATTTTAGAGTTGGAAGAGAGCTTAGAGATTTCTTAGCCATTGGGCTAATTTTATTTTCAGAAAACTAAAGCTTGATGAGGGTGCTCGACATCATCTGGTAAGTCCATGGCACAGCCAGGACAGGAACCTAGATCTTATAAGTCCAAGGCCAGGTTCCTTTCTAATTACTTTCACCTTAGTTTCTGGTGAAACATGCAAAAAGGATCATTACCCTTTCATATCCCTCCAAAGATGACAAGGGTATGCAACCTGCATTCCCTAAGGGGAAGAAAACCTCAAGGCCTTAGGTGAAGCAGGGCATTTAGAATCAGACAAGAGGAAGCCTAGGCAATGTGCTTAGGAAGGAAGTCATGTTCCTTCAGGGGATCAAATAATCTAAGTTTCCTGTGTGAACAAGATGACCCTATAGGGCAGATAACCACTAATAACTTTGACCTTGGAAGCTAGAGGAGTTCATGTGTCATGCTCCAGATAAATAGTAAAGCAGCATTGTTGACTCTGGTCCCCTGCCAACATGTGTTAGGTTGCTGCAGAGAGATTTACACGAACTTGAGGAAGAACAATGGAGTAATTTTTTAAAAACTAAAGTTGGCTTTCAGGACCATTTAATATTTTCCCCAGGCCATTGCTTCTCACATATATATGTATATATATATATATATACACACACACACACACACACACACACATATGTATGTATGTACATATATACATACACACATATATACACATATATGTATGTATGTATAGATAGATAGATAGATAGATAGATAGATAGATAGATAGATAGATAGATGATAGATAGATATTAGGAAAAAATTGGGATCTTTACATTTTTCTATCTGGCATAATACTGGTAGACAAGGAAAGTAGGATCAACCAATCAACAAGATTTTGTTAAGCGGCAATTATTAAGCACTGTTATTTGCTCAGAATATAAAAACACAAGTGAAACTATCTCTACCCTCAAGGAGCTTCCAGTCTACCCTGGAGAGGCAACATATAAAAGGTATAAAATGCATACAAAATAAATAGAATATAATTGGCAGGGATTGGAAACTGGGAGATCAGGAAAGTCTTCATGTTAAAGCTGACCTGAATATTGGAGGAAACTAATGATTCTAAGAGGTAGAGGTGAAGAGGGAGTACATTGCAGGCCTGGGAGAGAGCCAGAGAAAAGATGGCTAGAGATGGGAGATACAGGGCTGTGTGTGAGGAAACAGTATGGAATAGTACAGATTAAGGCTATAAAGATAGGATCAAGCCAAGCTGCAAATGGCTTTTCATGTAAAACAGAGTTTATCTGACCTTTGAGATAATGGGGAGCCAGTGGAGTAGGGCAGTGACTTGGTCAGGCCCATGCCTTAAGAAAG